AGTGTGGATCCTTTCCTTCCACAGTCCCAAGCTCTATGGCCGAGGCGACCACAGCGCAAGCACCGAACTGGCTCCCTACAGGTCGCTGTGAAATGCTCTCCAGCCAGGCAACGGAGGCATTTACCTCTCAAGCTTGCAGGGATAGAGGCCGAGCGGCTCCGTGGAGCAATGGTTGTTGGACGACTTGAAGGCGTTGGTGTCTTGAATTTCGGGCGACGCCACCAGTGGCTTGGCAGCACCGTCGACCAACCTTCATCATCTGCAGCAGACGGCGATGTAGACAAATCGAAGCTGCTTCTCTTGCTGATGGAGGCATTGACTCCATGCTAGCTCACTGGCGGTGTCTCTGGAGGGAGCAGCATCACTGCTAGTAGCTGGGGGGAAATTGAGCGTGTCCCGCCTCCCACAGCGTCGGGCTAGCCTCGGCCACCGAGGAGGACTTGAGGCAAGATTTGGTAGGCGGTGGGTGGGAGGAGGGGCAATGGCTGGTGGAGTGCGCGGGGAGAGCCAAGAAGAAACGTACCCTTCTGGTGCCGCTCGGGGCGTCGCGGGGAGGGTCCCAGGGCGGCGGCGGGTCCGTGGAGAGCGCGAGCGAACCGACGATGATTGCGGGGGCACAGGTCCTGGCTCGCCGGGGGGTCATCCATGCGCAGCGTCCGCGCGGGGGGCGTCGGGGACGGAGGTGCGGCGAATTGAAGGTGGTACGAGTGTGGTCACCGGCGAGCGGCGGGGGAGGGGAGAGGGGTGGGGTTGACGGGGGGTGGCCGACGGCTACGAATTTGGGCGCAGAGATCCCGGCCGCCGACTGTGTAGCCAATAGCCAATAGCCAATCTCTTACTCAGTGGTCCGCTCCGACTGTGTGCCAATAGCCAATCTCTTATTCAGTTCTTTATTTATGCTGCCTTAGTTTCTTTGTTACTGATCTCATCTCATATAATACAAGAGCATCTGCAAAGTTTATTAGGTCGACTTACAGATCCTTTGTTCTACTTTGTGAATACGACAAGAACCACCGCTGATATTCTTTTTTTTTCGCGAGCGGGTCAACCCGTTGGGATAAGAACCACCGCTGATATTCATGTTCTATCTAAGCTTTGGACTTTCGCTGGAATACTGACGAGCTTCTTTTCTTGCTGAAAACTAGATCATCAGGGAACCAAAGTTGAGTGGAGTTCCTTGTTCTAGTTTTCATTACTATCTGCAACGCTCATGATATCAGCAATTGTGTGTTATGTTCTGCCTTTGGACTTGTTTGCTGTAAAAATGACTGCATTTGTTGCCAGAAAGATGATTTGTTTGGGTTTTGTTTTGTGGAACGTTGCTGGAGTTATAACTTTGTTGCCACTTTTTTTAGTTTTTTTTTCATATATTTCACACTGTCTTGTATATTTTGGAATCCTTCGGCACATTAGTGATTATAACTTGGGAACTTAGTTTGGAAAGCTTTATTTTATTTTTTTGGTGATAATTTGGCACTAGGTTGGTGTATAAGAAATGTACAACCCATGTATAATTAAGTTTGATTGATAGTTCCTATAATGGTTGCTCAATAGCACAGATTGTGGAAAAAGAAAAAGTTCCAGCCTCTGCAGCACAAATGGTTTGTAATAAGCAATTACAGACTTACAGTTTTATACAGCAGGTTTTTAAACAAACTTATCTTAATAAATCTTCACAACCATGAGGAACCGTTCTGTTTCTTAGACCCTTTTTGAGGTGGGCTAAAGTTTAGAATATTTGTTTGGAGCTTTACCTCTCAAGTTTAGATCCAAACAGGCCCGGCCCGTAGACAAGTAGAAAGTATAATAAGAATGTAAGTGACTGAGTTAATGGTACAATGTGGTCTCAGGGCAGCCTCTTGATCATAGACTAAGATAAGATCTTTTAGAGTTTTCGTTGACTAAAGCTTAGGTTATTATATACAAGTCCTGTTTGGTTCAGATGTAGCCACGATGTGTGAGAGTTCAAACATTTTTATTCCATGAAGTATACAAACCGTTGCTTGGGATGCACTTGTTTGCCCTCCTTTTTGCTAACCTGAAACCTGAAGTGCCGCGGGCACTGCTTCCGATCCCAGTGCTAAAGCAGGTTGGAATTACTTTTTGGATTTTCTCTTTTGGCAATAGCAATTGCTCTAGTATCGATGCTGTTGTACAGCTGTGTTGCGAGGCTTGGTATTTTGGGGGAGGAGGACGAAATCCATGCGTGCACGCAGGTTGATCCATGCACGTTCGGTGAAGCACACTACTCTATAGATGGCTGAATGGACTGCACGGCTCGACTCCGCCCTGGCCCATTGAGGCACAGCCTAATAAAGGACACGCTGACATGCCCCGATAAGCAAAGGACACAGTTAACGCGTGACGGGTCGCTCTTCGCGACCTGTCTTCTTCCTTCGCGCAAAGCTCGCTCCCTCTTCTTCCTCTCCTCCGACGTCGTCCTCACCCTCCCCATGCCCCCCCCCCGGCTTCCACGACCCTTGCCCCGCAGCTCCTGCCGCCCACATCCCGCCCTCGCCCCTCAACCCCGCCATCCTCCTTGTCCTCGCCCCCACTGCTGCCCACTGCCCCGCCACGGTAGGGTCTCACTGGAGCTCCGTGACCGTAGAGCTCCGGTGAGACCCTACTGCCCGCTGTGACATCCTTCTTCTCCTTCCCCCTCTCGCGGGAGCTCCGCCATGGCCATGGGCGCCTCTGCCCCGACTTGGCCCAGCCGCCTCCACCGCCCTCCCGCTGTCCCCATCTCATGGCCAGTCTGCCTCCACCTGAACCCCCTTCTAAGCCCACCGGAGATGGGGAAGAAGAGAGTGAGAGTCGGCAAGCTCGTTGTCTCTGACCCTCACCCTCCTCGCCGGAACCCTAGGCGCCTTCTTCTTTCTCTATGGCGCGGGCGCAATGGAGCGGGTCGTGCCGTCACGTATTTGTGTATCCCATAAGAAAATTGTGTCGTGTCTCACCTGCCCATAGGTTGGCATGACCCCCACATCATCTTTGTCCGAGTGTCCTGATGGCTTGGTGAGCCAGTTGAGCTCAAGATGCATCTCCGCCGCATCTATCGCGTTGGCTAGGCCGCTGTGCCTGTGCCTCCGCCACCACAAGAGAGGATCAGGGGAGGAAAGAGAGGAAGAACGGAAGGTGGCTAAGACAAGAAGCTCATGGTGGGTGCTCGGCTACTCAAAGAAGAAGGCAATGTGGTCTACAGGAGCAGCGGAGGCCAAGGGAGGTAATGGTGGAGGAGGAGGCACGTGAGAGGATAGGAGGTGATGCGGGAGCTAGGGTTTAGAGAGTCGATGATTATATGCTGTAAGTTAACGGACTATATCGGACCAACTACCAACTAGTAATTGGCCCCGACCGGGCTAGCAACTCATGCCAGAGTACCGGTCTAGGCACACCCGTCAAGCCGGGACGGCACAGGCACCACACTCGTGCCTGGACCAAAAAAACGCCTAGCGATTCACCGTGTCCATGGGTCTTGGGCCTTATGGCCATCAGTAGCACACTCTAGTTCATTTTACATCTATATTATACATGTTAAATCTCAATGCACATATGATAATTAATTAAATTAAAGATCGTGGTTTTAATACATGTAATCTAGAAAATGACTTGAGAGAATATATTACATCCTGAGGCATAGGGATGGAAGTGAATTAACAAGCAAACCCGTATGTAGGCTATTTTTATTGGGCAATGCTAAGGTACATCCTTTACTTCCAAAGAGGTAATATCTCAAATAAATCTGAGCCGTTGATTTTATTTTTTTTTAAATTAATTAATTAACCTAAGAAAAGGAAAAAGAAAAACAAAAACAAAATATCTTCAAATCCCCTCGTGCGCGGGACAGACAGAAGCGGCGGCCGGCCGCGCGGCCCTTCCTTGTTGATTGCGGAGCCTTCCTTTCAGTATATTACATATATAAAAAATATCAACATGTATACAACAGGTATCACGATTTATTCAGTAATTAAAAGTTACATTACGTATATAAAAAATATCAATAGTTAACACATTAATTGAGACGTGAACTTTAGCGATCTAAAACATGTTATATGTTGACACGTTACAAATCGAGTGTGTATATTATTCATAGCTGAGAGGGCCTTTACCTGTCACGTATATTGAGCATGCAAGATGGCCATGTAAAGTTTCATGTATGCACGTAAATTTTCGTGCACGTTGGGCACATACACACACCAATTTCACGTCTCTTTGAGAACATACATGTAGTACGAGTTACGTGAATAAAAAATATGTAGTTTATGTTAATTGAATTATGCTATTTCTAATAAGGTTGCAAAAAATAAAAAGATCTAATGGATCATGTATGCATCAATTAGATCTAAAATTATCTTTATCTCTAAAACTTTTCCTGATTTATCATACTTTCCAAAATTAAAATTAAATAAATATATATTTCATATATTACCTCCTAGTTGATCGTAACCGTCCGATCGAAATAAATGAACGACTCACAGTCATTTGGTTGTACCGCAGCAAAGCCCATTTTTATTTAAAAACTGTAGCTGAAAATTTTATCTAGACCCACTATATGTGGCGCAAAATGAATTTACAAGCCCACATTAGGGGGAAATTGAGATTCTTGTCTCATCATAAAAAAAAAAGTAAAGATTGTAGAATTTCCAGAATCCAAGCAACTCAGTATCTTGGCTTGTAGACCCTACCAAGGACCCCGAATTTCATTGACAAGCAACTCAGTATCTTGGCTTCGATCGGTCACAGGGCGGGCCTTTTGGTTTGTCCACCTTGACTTTTCGTAAATCAAGGAGTCCCTCTGATTTTAGCGATTTTTTGACCATTGAACGGATGCCCTTTTTTGATTCCAGTCGTTTCCGAAAAATCACCCTGCTCACAAACCTCTCACCATTTTTTCGAAAACCCTGATTTGTTCAAATCACCTTCATATCTTTTTTCCAAAAAAAAAACAATGACTGCACAAGAGAAAAGAGAGAGAGTTTTCTTGATTCATCGTCCCATCACTAATTCACAGATGTTGTGACATCAAAAATTGCTGCCAAGAGATGAGATGAGAATTTCATCTTCAGACACAGAATGACATCAATTGCCCGTGATGGATTCAGAATGAACTTACATTCAGAATCTGTTCTGTCCCACCTGCAGCTCTCTTCCCTCTCCTCCTCGTCCTCTCGGCAACCACAACGGCGACCACCTCGCCTCTTCCCTTTGGTCCCATCCTCCAAGAAATATTTCCTCGACGTCGCCGATCCGTTGCCCGACCTGGCATTCATCTTCTTACCAATCACCGTTCGGAAGAACTGCAAAGATAGTCCACCAGAGGGCATTGATTAGAGACACTAGCTAGACATGGTTGCATGAAGCAGCTAGCTTCGTTGTGTTGTGTCTGCCGATCATTCGCACACGTATGCATACCTTCTCCATTCTTGACTCTACTGGGTCCTTCAGGCCCCGAGGCGGCGCCGCCGAGAAGCCGCCATTGCAGGCGAACATCTTCTTGAGCAAGAACTTGAACGACCTCTGCTTGATGCTGCCGCCGCCGCTGCCGCTGTCGAGCAGGTCCCTGGCCCTGGTCAGTATGATCTTGGTGTCCGGCGAGAGGTCTCCTTCTCCTTCGTGGCCGTCGCACTCGCCGTGCTTCGTCGTCGTCTGGACACTCCTGTCCACCTCCAGGCAGGACGGGCAGTTGAGGAACCTGTCCAGCGGCGGCCTGTCCTCGCCGGCCCCGGCCCCGGCCCCGGAGCCACGGGCGCTCGACTTGGACTTGGCGCGCCGCAGGAGCATGGCCAGCGCGTCCTGGAGCTTCTTCACCTCCTCCACGGTGAACTCCGGCAGGTCCTGCTCCTGCTCCTGCGCTGCCGCCAGTGGAGGCTCCTCATTGCCGAGCGTGCCGATGGAGAGGAGGCCAGCCTGAGGCCATGGCTCAGCGTCGAGATGCTTCTCTGATTCCTGAATGATCGTCTGTTGTCTCTCTTGGGCTCCAGCGCCTGGCTCAAGTTCAGGAAATGCACGCACGTTTAGCACGGCAATGACTCCACTCCAGTGCTGATCAGTGATCACACAATGCAAGCTGCAAGTGCAAGTGCACTGCAATGAGAGAGTTAAGTTACCTCTATATGAACTGGTGGCGGTTGCGCCATCGAAGATTCTGTTCTCCGTCTTCCCATGGAATCTGCTCTGCATCCAGTTGATGATCTGCAACCAACCATGCAACAACCAAGAAAAATACAGAACTGTAAGAATTTTCGTTCGTACGATTATATTGGTGATGAGTCATGAGCCAGTTCTTATTGAATTTCCCTATAATAATGCAAGTGAAGTTTGCTTACCCCCATTGTTGTCTGGTTCCAAGAATCTGTGAGCTTAGATTCACCTCCAACCACCTTGAGCAGAGAATGCAGTGGGGCGGGAAGCCACTGGGCTATGGCTTTTATAGGACTTAGATTCAGGGGTTGTCTGGTTGGTCCCAGAGAGAGGCCCTTTTGAGTATGTTCTCACCACGCCAATCGGGAGCTAGATAGTGAGAGCTCTGAGTGAGCGAGCGAGTGAGCTAGTTTGGTCCCCTGCCTAGGGGAGGATTAAGCTTAAATAGCTGGAGATTAGCATGCCATCGCTAGCCGTACTTGATGTATACAATCGGCAATTAGTGCGGATGCTCCTACTTGCAGCAGTGTGTACTTACACTAAGGCCATGTTTGATGCACCAGCTAAATTTTAGCTGGCTAATTTTAGCTATGATGTATCCAAACAGCCCATAGCTAAATCTAGCTAAATTTTAGCTATAGGCTAAAATATACACAATCCTATTAGCTGTTTTAACCTAGCTAAAACCAACTAAAAGGCCTTAATGACCAAACTACCCTAGCTAAAGTTTAGCTAGAGGATCCAAACAATCCCTAAATTCTACCAGTGGCAAATGGAATAGACAGATTTGCTTGGAGTTTAAGAAAGCACATGCTGCCAACTATCATCTCTTTTCTTGGGCGTATTTTGGTGATATAAAATTGGGACCAAAGGGTGTATTTGATTGTGATCACATAAGAGCGCCAGGGTAGTGATTCCATGCTTTTTAGACATGTTCATGTGCCGCTGGCCTTAAACAAAAGAAGCCTAATCTGCAAAAGCCGAACCCGGAGCCTTAAGCCCAAAATAGTCCCTAGCTAGCTCGGACTTACCCCATTCGTTTTAAATTATAAGACGTTTTGGTTTTTTCATAAATTTTGCTGTGCACTTAGATATGCACTATGTCTAGATGCATAGTAATAGCAATATATCAAAAAAGCCAAAATATCTTATAATTTGGAACGGATGGAGTATTTTAATAGCACAAGTCTTTACTAGATGACTTTCACATTTAATTTCTCATTTTCTATATTATATCAATTGCTATGAAACCAACCTTACATGTTGACACATCAATGCAAATACAGGATTCAAAAATTTTCAATGGAAAAAAAATCAATTGATCCAATGCCCAAAGGTGTGCAGACATTATCATACAACATACATATGATGCATTGGGATTCAAATAGTTTGTCCTTAATTATTAGCGATAATTAGTTGTTCGTGTTGTTATCTGTAATCAATGGCTATTAGTGTAAAAAACAATGATGGATGATAATTTGTGGTGTGTTTAGCACAATTATGACAATTACTTACTATGAATGAAGGTTATGAACAATTAAATATAGATATAATATTTGTTCAAAATATTACATATCACATGACTTGATGCATCGATGAGTGACCGAAAGAAAGCCAAAATTCATAGCTTCTCTTTTTGAACAATTAAACAAATGTTCTAGAGGTATCATCTAACAATATTACAATTCTTTCACCAACCTTTGTACCCAATATTCAAAACATCTATTCGAAATATAGATTATATTGGTGGACAAAATGAGTACATTTTATCATATATTGTTTCCCCAAGAACCGAACTCCAAACCCTAGTGGTACCTTCTAGAATACCAGCAACTAAACAGACACTAACCAATAATGAAGCAACACTACCATTTTTCTTCCTCAATGTATTACCCAGGTATCACTAATGGTTCTAGAGATTACCTAGCCCGCCACAAATAGGAGGAGTTTTTGTCGTCTTGCACCAATGCATGCGAAAAAACCTCGCTTGGAGGATACAACATTTAGGGGAATCCATTTCCCCTAAGTGCTCCGAACTAGAGGTAGTAACATCCTCCACACTCCATATGTATTTAGATTTAGTTGCTAAGTTGCATTAGTTCTTATAAGAATATGATTTTCCCATTGTGATAAAATGTTGAATGAGGTAGAGCTCAAATTGGGCTCCTGTTGGCACATTACATTTTCCAAGATATAGTTAAATGGAGATCGCTTAGATCAAAACCTAACTCCAATTTATGCTAGAGATCTAGTTCCAACGTCTTGATTATGGTGGATTAAAAAACAATGTCCTCTCCTGGTTTACCTAGATGATTATATAATTTAGTATCATTGCAAAATGTTCAAAATTAGTTACCTTTGGTTACATTATGTAGCTTAGTAAGTGACATTACATTCTTAATATAGTTGAATTATTATTTTTTCATATATAACTTATTAATATTTAGTTAATAAAGTTGATGATGAACTTTTAGTGCTATAGTTCTCGGAGCCTCAAAGGCTTAAAATTTTGAAGATCCACATGTACTTTGAACTACTCCCTCCATCCTATAACACTTGCCCATGGCCTCACGAGAAAACATTCCACACAACACACATCTAGAGCGTTTCTCACTACTCCCTGTTCAATCCCCATCAAAATCTCCCCATCCCCCCCCAGAGAATCAAGGAGCTGGGGCTAAGAGTCAGAAGTGGAAGTACTTCACCAAACAAATCCTAGATGCTCTGACAGAAACATATTCAACCTCTTCGTTGGTTGGTTTCTAAGCTGATAAGCCCGACTGATACTGATTTGTTATGAAAAAAACACACTATACTATACCTAATAAGCTCCTGGCTGAAACAACGAGATTATGAATCGGGCGAGAGACGGAATGGCGGAATCCACCCAGATGGGGGCGTGTTAACGTTAGTACAACTTTTAAAAAAAATTGCGAGGAGTACAACTACTTTTCTGTGTGCGGCAGTAGATTACGAGTCAAACCATCTTCCATATGGGCGCCTTTCCCGAGTTGCGACACATCGGAGGGAAATTGTGCAATGTGAGGTGGATCATTCTAACAGCTTCCAGATCGGCGCCTTTTCGTACCTAGCTGTGATAAGCGCGATCGAGTGATTGATGCATGTTGCGTCAACATTCGGGCACATGGAGAGACACTAGTGATTTTCCCAGTGCGCTATTGACGCATGCGCTGATGCACGCACGGACAGCCCTTTTGACCAAAACACGCAGCACCACCGCCACCACACCATTGTTATTGTTAATTTATACAGTACGTATATAAGAAGAGACAGCCTATCGGAATTTAGGGCATGTCAAATCCTAGACATTCTGAAGCACCTCGGCCCGCCAAAATGAAGCCTGCACTGCAGCGGAGTATTATAATTTGCCCCAAACACAGACGACACCATGCTAGTTTTTGCACCAGCTGGTTGCTCAACAAAATCCTTTGGAAATTCTTGTAACTAATGAATGCTGCCTCTTGGAAATGTCAAATATGTGGAATCTGGAAAATCTGGCCCTCGACATAAACAGTTACTACAATGACACCGAGATCAACCCCAAAACCAAACACTAATCGTAGTTACTACAATGACATAAATAGTTGTTTTGATGCTCTCGACATTTATTCTCTACCAAAGAATTATGTGTGCATTTAAAAATAGAGTGTTTAGGATTAAACTACCGATGTAGATATGTTGTAATGTTTCTGTCAAGTTGTATAAATTTATCTAAAGTAATAGTTGTCATGAAGTGTTAATAAAATGAAAAATGAATTCTGTGAGTGTCATTGGTATATGGTATATATGTGATGCGCTAAGGTATATTTTCATAATTGCTAAATAAAGTACATAAATATTATATCACTCTTACATGTATGCTTAATTATATTGGTCTGCCTTGTGTCATAGAATATGTATTCTTACTTTGAGCTAGCTTTTTGTACAGTTATTAATAGTGTTATAAGTGGGTAATTTAGAGACATATATAGTACAATTTATGGACATTTAATTTTTTCCCATTTTTCAATAATAGTATATTTAAAAATAAATTTAAGGGGATATTTAGTTTATTTTTAATATGGCAGAGGTGCAAATTTTAGATGCAAATTTAGGAGGCTATTCAGATTATCTATCATAATGGTAAATTAAGTGGTTAGTTTTTTGTTCCACCTCAGCCAATCTGAGGGTAGTTTAGATAAAAGCTTAGTGTTTAGTTTATGATATTTTTCTAACTTTCTCAGCCTTTCCATAATGGCTGAGGCGGGTAATTTTTTAGAAAGCAGATTATACCTCATCATTCTTATTATCAATGGTGATAATTGTTTACTGAATTAATGGAAAGATCTTTCTATTTTTTTCTGTGAATTTGTAGGATTTAATTTTTCTTTTGAGTGTCTTGTGAGAATTAAAATAAGGCTTTGTTAAAGTCTCCAATTAATAATTAATAATAGTAAGATATATCAAGCGCCAAGTGTGGCACAGCTGGCTCAATGTCTCTCTTATCACACAACTTGTAAAAGGAAAATTGCATAGCTTAGATACTGCTGGGGGAGATGGATGAAGCTCTAATATGATTTGGCGACAAACCAAAGCATGGGGTACGTGCGATGATGCCCATCACGGGCATGAATGTACTTTATTCAATTTACCTCGCTCTATATATCTCTTCCATGCAGCTATATATTCAATATATATATATGCGAATATATAGAAATGCATCGATGAGTGAACAAGAACCAAACTTTAATTTGTTCCAGAATAATTTGGATCCCAGACATCTGGTAGAATTATTAATTTGCATCAACGTACCAGTACCACATCTCGTATATTATTGCCAACCAATGAGATGGGGGGTACTTGAGTGTACATTTGATTAAGAGCCCTTGCATGCGCTGTGACCAGGAGTGCTTAAGCTTAATGATGAGCAATCAAGGTAACTTGCTGGACTAATGGGAACCTTTCGTTCCATTCCTTAACATAAACTATCAGAGACGAAAGGTACTGTCAACGCAAGTAAACTAGCTAGTCTGCCTTGAAATTTGGCAACTTCGATTCGGTCAGAATTGACCCTACTGTAGTAACTGTTCAAGTCATGGAAAACATCTAAGCACGATTTAAAGCAAAATATACTCCTATCTGATACTGCAAGAGCATCACAACTTTTAGACAAGCTACTTGAACACGTGGC